GCTTCGACAATGTCCGGCTGTAGTACCCGATGACTTTTTCCTGTCCGTCGATTTCCTGGGAAAGGACGCCACCGATGCCGCACGCACTTGCGTCTGTGTCCAGAACAAACTTGCCGCCAGGTATAGGGTATGCCAAAATGGGGGCTCTGCATAGCATGTCTTTGAGCTTTCTGAATGCCTCCTCCTGGTCGTTGCCCCACTGAAACCTCTGGCCTTTTTGCGTCAAGCGGTGTAGACAGGCGGCGATGTTGGCAAAATTTTGGACAAATCGACGGTAGTATGTGCAGAGACCCAGAAAGCTTCGCAGCTCATGGAGATTTCGGGGCTGCGGCCAATCTCTGACGGCTTGCATTTTCTCCTTATCCGTCGATATGCCCTCCGGCGTCACGTGGTGCCCCAGGAACTTCACCTCTCGTTGGAGAAGACGAAAGCTGCTGTAGAACATCCTTTAAGTTCTTGATGTGTTCGTCGAAGTTGCGTCCCATGACTATGATGTCATCCAGGTATATGAGGCACGTCTTCCACTGCAGCCCTTTTAACACACGCTCCATCAGCCTTTCAAATGTAGCCGGGGCGTTGCAGAGTCTGAATGGCATGACGTTGAACTGCCAGAGACCCCCAATAACGCCAAACGCTGTTTTCTCTTTATCTTTCTCGGCGATCTCTACTTGCCAGTACCCACTCTGCAGGTCGAGGGTGGAGAACCATGACGTCCCGGCTAATGTGTCCAATGTGTCGTCGATTCTTGGGAGCGGATAGCTGTCTTTCTTGGTGACATCATTCAACTTTCGGTAGTCCACACAAAATCGGGTGCTTCCGTCTTTCTTCTTGACCAATACCACTGGGGAGCACCATGGAATGGTTCTATTACACCACTCTTTTCCATTTCACTTATTAGCTTCTGGACCTCGTCTCTTTTCGCCAGGGGAACACTTCTTGGAGGCTGCTTAATGGGTCTCGCGTCTGCTGTATGGATTTCATGCTTCACCACTGATGTTCTTCCCTGGTGCTCTTTTGTCAACGCAAAGGTAGAGGCATATTTCCATAATAGCTGCTTAGCCTTGTTCTTCTCGGAAGGTGATAATTGGTGTGTCCACTCTTTTATGTAGCCGTCGAGGTGCTTCTTCTCCATGGCTGCTGGCTTTTCGGTGCTAGTTTCCAAATTAACTACAGCTTCAGCTGGTGTGCATTGTCCAACATCGGAAAATTGGCAAATTTGCTCTTGCTTGTTCGACAGGTTCAAAACTCTAACAGGAATTAATCCGTCCTTGTTGCTTTTCACCAGGGCATTCGCTATTAGGATGTTACTGTTTCTGTTTTCTGCTGGTTCCACCACCCACAACTTCTCGGCTCCACAATATCCATTCATTGGTACCCATATTATTGCTTCGGCACAGGGCGGTATTATCTCTGGATGGTCCGTAGTCAGACGTCTAATGGATGTACTTTCATCGTAGCCCACGTTTAACGGAATTTCAACGTTAGACCAGGTCATCACACGCTCTTTCATATCCAGATTGATACCGAAGGCAATCATAAAATCTGCGCCTATTATCACTTCGTCTACGATATCGGCAACTATAAACTCGTAATTCACCGATTTATTGGCAATAGTCAGTCTCAGGGTAATCTTGCCGTGTACTGCCGCGGGCTCCCGCGTTGCTGTGCGCAGTCTGACTCCATTAAGTTGCGTTATTTTTCCCTTTACCAGATCTGATCTTATGATGGACTTTGATGCGCCAGTATCTAACGTCAGAACTCGCTTGTCACCATTGATGTACCCAGTTGCTGTTAGGTTGTGACTTTTCTGTTGTACTATTGCTATGGAGATTGTGGGGCCATCGTCGATGGGAGCCAGTTCATGCCCCGCTGGACTGGCTCGATTTAGTTTAACGGTGACTCATTGGTGGACTGTTGAGCAATTCTTCTAACATCTTTCGTTGGAGGTGGTGACGATGACCTGGATCGTTTGCGCTTAGCTCTGCATTCGCGCGCAATATGACCTGCTTTATCGCAGTTGTAGCATCTAACCCTGGGCTTAGTCATCCCTACTAACTTTGTTTCTTCTATTACCTGCCTCATGGCGTCCTTGATCGAGTTAACGAGAGATTTGGGTTCGCAACCTTCGGTCTCCAGTTGGCGAATCTTGTGGGTCTGGGGCTTAACAATTATTCTGGCCGTCTCTTGGGCAAGGGCAAACGACACAGTTTCGGCAAACGACGCTTTTGGTGACGCATATATTGCACATTTAATCTCAGGGTCACGTATGCCATTCACAAAGGTTTCGATTTTCATACGGTCCAGCAATGGGTGATTCTCTCCTGGATACGCCATTAGCACCAAACGTTCCACCTCAGCTGCAAAGTCTTGTAACGTCTCGTTTGCCCTCTGTACTTTTCCCCTTAGTTCCATAAGGTATATGTTTTGTTTATGTTCGCCACCGTACTTACGTTCCAGTGCAGCAATAACATCTTCATAGTTATTCCTAGAAGCGACAGGAATACTCTGTATAACATCAGCAGCACTGCCCTTCAATGCCAGAAGTAGTGCAACCGCTTTGTCGCTGTCGTTCCACGAATTTCTAGAAGCCACTGTCTCGAACTGTAACTTGAAAACATTGAATGACGTAGTGCCGTCGAATACAGGAGGTTTGATTTTTAGTGTGTTATCAGGACCTCGCACCGGACCACCTTTAATTTCCAGTTCCGACATTTTCTTCTCCAGATTCGTAAACCTGTGGTCGTGGGCCAGAAATTTCTCATCTACAGACAGAATCTTCTCGTCAACCGACTGCACTTTCTTATCCAACTCTTTAATTTGGACCTCCACGGTTTCCACTCTCCTTCCAATAACTTCTGTAATGTTCTCGAGTTTCTCGTTCATTCTACAATTCTCTGCCTTGAGTTCATCTAACTTTCTGGAATTCTCTTCGAACATTCGTCTCGAGTTTTCTTCTGACTTTCTGGAATTCTCTTCGAACATTCGTCTCGTGTTTCTGGAATTCTCTTCGAACATTTTAGCCAGCATTTCCCTGAAATCGTCACCCCTGACAGCTACTGACGAGACTTCCCCACTTCATCCTTACTGTCAAACTCATATGTATCGATGTTCATACCCCGGCGCTCGAACTCATCCAACAGACGTTTTTGTAGCTCAGCCTTGTTGCCAGTAGAGGACAATTCCAATTTATTGAGCTCCTTCTTCAAGTCTTCCACCCGTAGATCCTTAAACTTCATCGTAGTATTATCGTAATCTCACTTCCGACACCAATTGTTACGTTCTTGGACTTTACTTAATCCCGTGTAGACGTTGTTTTATTTCCCGATACAGTTCGTACCAAATAAAACGCGGGTTCTTTCTGATTACGATTATTACAATGATTTTATTCACACAACTTTACTTTGCACTTTACTTTACACGACGGTTTCAATTCGCGATCTGATTCACAACTGACTAACTGCCTTTCCATTTCCCCTATTTATATGAGCCTTGCTTGTAGCTACAGAAGTTTCTAGACGATCTGGTAACACCTAGATCACGAACAATCTACCAATGGAACAAACACACATACAAACTTACATTGAGTAAACAATAACAACAACACATACAAACTTACATTGAGTAAACAATAACAACACATATACAGGTGAGGGGGTAACAAAGAAAGAGGAATTAAGCGATCATCAATGATGACGTTTAACAAGAATTGTACGTCAACAAAAAAATAGACAATGAAAGAGGAAATGGAAGGATGTAGAAAAATCTATACAGTAGTTGTTGTTGTGAAGTTATTCAAATAAACTGCGTAGTAGAAATTTACGTTACAATTCAAATTCTTAAATTAACGGAATTCATCTAAAGTAACTTAAATCTAAATTTATATTCGTAACAATATATATATATATAAAAGATGCCAAAAAAATGTATACTAATTCATCAATTGAGATCGGCTGGACCGGTTTGACTCAAAATTTCTTTCAGTTGTCGGTAATTACAGTTTTAAGGTTTTTACGAAAAATGCAAAAATTATTTTAAAGAAACGGCTGGACCGATTTGACTTAAAGTTTCTGTTAGTAGTCTGTAATTGAAGTGGAAATGTTTTAATGAAAGAACATTTTGAGAAAAATTCGCGAAAATGTTGCAATATATATATTTTGAAATATATTAGCATTACCACACATTTTATATCGATCCTTTATGATTTTACCTCTTCGTAGTTCTTCTTGGACATATTTTGGGTGAAAACTTTCTACAATCAATTGGATTGTCATTGCCTTGAAAATACTATTGTATGTATTTGAAAATAAATTTATATTTTCATTAGAGTTAAATTTAGTAAGAAACCGATGAGAGTAAGATTTATCGCTATCATTATTTGCTCACGTTTACCATAAAATCTATATTTTTTATCATTGGATGGCATTAAAAATTCCATTCAGAGATTCCTTCAAATATTTGGGAATACATATAAAGAAATTATTTAAATTTAATGAACACGCCAGAGCATCATTGAAAAAGGCCAAGATAACTGTGCAATACTTATCTGCCGCAAAGTACTAAGCTGCTACTTTATAAAGTTGCAATCCGGCCAATTATTGGATATGAAAGAAGATTTGTAGAAAACTTAAATGTAACAATGACATATTGCAAATGTAATATTTATAATAATATTAATAGTAATAATAATAAAAATCAAGCAAATGTCTTGTGGGTTGGCACAATGCGACTCGCGATGTTTGTAAATAAACATATATAATATAATTCGTGGAGTAATATTTATTAAGTCAGTAACTCATACTATAACAATTACCCAATTCCATTACATTTTTCACAAAATGGACAAAAACTCCCAATAATTTATTTAAAATAATAACTTAGCAAGAAACACACATTTTACACACATTTTATCTTAACTTGACTTATAATTTATAATTTTTGAAATTATAAAATAATAATTAATTTTAATTATAACATATAATTATAATAATTTATACTTTTAGTTAGAAATTGCTCGAGTTCAAAAAACTGTATTGGATGCTGTTTCGGAACATGCTGCTAAAAATAGAAATGGATCGGAAGCTGTAAAGGAACTTAACAAAAGTCTGTTTGATATTACTCAACTATATGAAAACTATGCAGATCGATTCAACTTGTGGGAATGCAAACTTACTATTTTAAACTGTTCTCATCATAATGATCCTTTACTGATTGAATCCGTGTGGAGTCAAATAATTGACAATGCCATTAATGATTCCAATTCAGTACAAGATAAATCAACGCGTTTATTCTCTAAAATTGAAACACTATTTAAGGAGTTTGGAGAATCCGGTCACTGCTTCCCCCTTGCTTTTATAATACGTGAGTTAGAAATAAAGGCATGTCAGTTAAAGCTCCCTGAGGGTATCGTGCCTGAAAAATTGGCAGCTCTTAATATTGACCTCGAACTTCTCATGGAATATTACTCAAGGTATTTTTTAATTATTAACTTTTTATACGCTCATAAAATTTGTCGTCGTATACTTAAATAACAACCTTTAATTTAAATGGTTTCTCGTCGTATTTTTAAACATTAAATATTTCAAATTTCAGTTATAAAACAAATGCATTTTTGCAACACTCAGGGAAAGATTTTTTGAATTTTGCTTTGAACCTTTTGGATAATATTAAAATCCTAAAGTTAGTTTAAATAAATCTCAGAATTACATAAATCAATAGGGTATATAATCCATATATACACCACTATATATACTATTGTGTCTTTAGGTAAAGTGCGACAAGGTTTCCGAGCTTTGGGAATTATATTTATCTCCCTCCACAGACTTGAAGGACAGCCTTAGGTTATCCGGGTACAAAACTAACAGTTATTTTTTAAAATGTGAACGAAAAACTCTTCATATTAGATACATTGGACAATACATTGGATTGACGAGCTCATTTATAATTTATATTGATCTTAAGAGAGCACTCTTAACCCTTATTATTAAACGGAAATAAATAAACGTCGTTTTTTTACTTTTAAACATTATTGTTATTTTTCCGTTAAAAATAAAACCCATTTAAGGAGTCTTATTCGTCATATCATTAAAAATAAAAATCAAAAGAGGACACAAAATGTATTGTAAAATCACTAGAGAAAGTCCAGAGAACATGATACGCAGGTAAATTAAATATGAAGCGGCCGTCGCAGCTTTCAGACATAATACAATGAACGATCAAACCCATACACAATAGGACGCACAAAAATATTGTTCAGTCTATAATCGGATCCTAAATCAGTGGTCACTTCATGTGAAACTAGTATTCTGGACAGCGACACCCTCTGGCAACTCTCCGGGATTCAACCGACACCATTTGCAATTAAGTTAGTATTATTTGAATATATTTCAAGTCCAGAATTATGTGTAATATAAGAACAAGATAAAAATATAGTATTTCCTTGGAATGCACAGACAACTGCAATATCTTGATCTGTCGAAACATCCACAAATTCAGAAGGAATCGTATTATGGACTACTATTAAAACTCCACCACTTTGTTTATGTGATCTATACTTTCTATAAACTTGATAATTATCAGAAAATACATCTGTATCGAATACACCAGGTTTAAGCCAAGTCTGTATATAATGGCTTTATAATCGCTAGACCTCGGATTTTTGCATATTTTTATGTTTTATCCGATTTGACTCAAATTTTGTATTTAGGCGTTTCATGCTTTAATTGACCGATATTTGGAGTCATGTTAAAAATACGCGAAATATATGCAAAAAAAAAAAAAAAATATATGCACGGTATGCTATGTCGATATGCAAAAAATATGCACGGTCGAAACCATATAGGAAACCCCGATTTAACACTAATGGTTCAACAATAATAATTAGCAAAATCTATAAAACTACCTGTTATAGGCATATGTGTTAAGGAATAACATTTTTATAATAGACATGGTAATTTTTGATTTTTTAAACTACCAATAAATGTAAGATAATAGTAAGTATAGGTAGATAGTATGGTATTTACACAAAAAAAAAAATTAAATTTAATTTCCATATCGACCCTGCATATATTTTGCAAATTTTTTGCATATATTTTCCATATTTTTGCATATCGACCCTGCATATTTTTTGCATGTCGACCTAGCATATCGTGCGTATTTTGCGTTTTTTTGCATATCTCGTGCATATGCATTATATGCAAAAAATAAAAAAATGTGAACCCTTCATACAATTCTAAATCCTTTGAAACGAATTTCAGATATCTTCATTATCAAAAAATATGCAAATATGCAAAATCCGAGGTCTAATAATCGCTATAGAAGGGTTTGAGAAACGTTTTTCTCAATTTACTATTTAGACCAGAACAAGAGCCTACTACATGAAATTTTTTCCGTAATGAATCATTTTTTTTTAAATCTGAATTATAAAACAAAAACTTTCTTGAAAGAGTATGAAAGTAAAGCTAAGGAAATTAAACATCTCGGAGTTAAAAATGTAAATAGTAAAGATAAGCAAATGTAAAGTTAGGCAAGTTATTGGCGGAAAGGAATTTACAACGAACAGAGCATAAAGCGGAGATAGTTGTCAGAGTAATGGCTTCCAATGGAAGTGACGAAGAGGTGTCTCAGGATTATTTCCATGAAATTGAAAAACTGAGTTAAATGAAGGACATAGCAAAAAATGTTCAACATCTAACAACAATTTCAGAAAAAACAGCTGTTGTGAAGTCGAATGCGAGGAAGTCAACATAGCAAAGTGCCGCCGATGGTTCAGGAACATCTGGTAGTTTGATGGATTACGTTGTTATGATAACAGATTTCAATCCATTAAAAAACGTTACATCAGTACTATAATGAGATTATGTCTTTATGTCTAGGAAAAAACTAATGAGGCCTTTGTGGAATATTCACCCCTACTTCCGATGTCGTCGACACAAAACGACGTCGTCTTTTGCAAATTGGTATTCTCGTTGTTGACTAGATTCGATCTATAGACTGTAGACCGACTGGTTAAATTTTTTAACGTGCTTTTAATTTTTTGTGATTTTTAATCATTTTATTGGTTTAGCAGGTATTCTATCAGATGTTAACAGCTCTGATGATACCTGCAATACATAATTCATCGACAATGGAAGTAGAAAGGCCATTGCCAAATAATCAGAGATGGTCCGTCAGAAACAGTGACGTAAATGACCTACATATCCGACGTATAATACATACGTCAGAAACGTCGGAAACCTACTCAAAACCATTAACTTTTTGTCAAAGTAGCTGTTTCCTTTAATAAATTATCAAATTACGTATGCTTTACTCAAATCCATATCAAATTTCAAAATTTTCATCTCCAAAAAGTTTGGAATTGTTGATCAGTTCCAGTAAGGAATAGTCAGATATATATATCTATATATGGTAATGATATTCAAATAAATAACGTTTACTACATTTATTACATTTTATACAGGTATATGACGTTTTCGACGTTTACACCTTTTTGTCAGTCGAAAACCTAAAAATTCGTCACAAGGACCATCCCTGCAAATAATCAATTTACACCAATAGCCAAAAAATGGTATCCAAAACAATCCTGAAAATAACATTGAGGGACAAAAAAGAGCCACACTTTTTGCCCACCAATAATTATGTATAATATTAACGTAGGGCGTCTAGTTAATCAGTTGGAAGCAAAGGCACCAAAAATAAATTTTTAAATAAAAAATATTGGCCCAAATAAATACTTATTATATTTGACTGTACATGCAGCTATGTTGGAAATCTTGCTCGAAAAATTTATGCATGCATATTCTTTCACACCGAGAGTATTACAAAAAGTATCCCTAATTTTAAGGAGTTGGTTCTATGGCATTGATATTGAAGCACCTGATGTAATAGTGAGCAAATTTGCAATCCCAAGATCAATAAAAAGTAAATCACACAGGACTGCTCCTTGTGACATTACGTCCAGGCATAACGTTAAGTGATATATATCTCGTAAAATTTGTACTTAAGCAGACAATTTTCTGGGAAACACCTAAGAGAACAACTTTAGAAATTCAATGTCATTGGTGCCAACGCCGGGGCCACGTAGCAAAGAAAAATGAGATGAGCAACATCTTCCTAGTGAATGGCAAAGGTTAAAGACTGATACATCTGACCCATTTTGCGTTAACTGCATTTCTTTCGAGCATACTCAGCATATTCTTGAGCAGGAAATAAACATTTTTCTCAATGAATTTAATAAAATGTCTAAAAGTGACGCTAAAAATGAATTTATGTGTTTTGAAAAAAAGTAAAAACAACATATGGACCATAAGCTATTAAAGTATAAAAGATCGAAGTAGACAAATTGAGCAACACAAATATTGTGCATAACAATATTAATGATGCTTTCATCCAGGAGTGTCATCTACGACGTTATAGAAGGGTGAACATAAGGGATTACACATTCATTTATGACTATTCACATATTGGTGTTGCTATTTTATTATAAGATACCATAACTTACAAGCGTATCTCTTCAGAAAACGTAAATTTTAATAATGTATTTAAAACTAGCATATGCCCGCTACTTAGCGAATGTGGGATATATTTAAACATGTATTAACAGAGAACATAAACAAACGGTACGATACCCGTACGAATCACACATAGTCGCAAACATTTCATTTGAATCGTTTCGTTTTTAGTACCAAACAAAACCACAAACATTTCAAATCAAAAAGAACGAAACAATACAATTGCTTTAGTGTACTTCTGTTGGTCAATGTTTAGTTGAAACGTTTGGGAGCGAAACGAAAATGAAACGTTTGCTCGGGGTAAATGATCAATTGTCGTGTTATGTTTATTCGTTGATGTGCATTTTGTTTTCTGTTGTTGAGACTTCGGTGGTTGTTTTGAACAACCACCACTCGCCCTAGAAAAGCAACTCAAGCACAACAATTGATCTATTCGCTCGCCAAACGTTTGGAAACTTTTCATTTTCGTTTCGCTCCCAACAACAACTGAAACGTTTCTATGTATTTTTGTTGTAACTGAGAACTTTTCGATTTCGTCCTGTTTGCACTCATGAGCGCAAACAGTACGATATACAAAACGAAAGAACTTTATGTGTGGTTTTCTTTTGTTTCGTTTTGTTCTTTCGAAAAGTACGGTACAAAACGATTGCAAACGTTTCATATAGTTTATTTTCATACTATATGTATTAACATATTATTTTATTTTCACAAAAAACTGCATATGTCAGAAAAACTAACACACATTGATATCGACCATAAATTAAATTTGAGTACCATTTAGTACCAAATTTTATGATTCGAGCTCTACAGGCTCAACCAAATTCAAATTGTACCAAATTTAGCACACATTATTTTCAAGAGTACCATCTCAACCATCCAACAAAACTTCCTGTATACCCCGATCCTACCTACTTACACCAAACATAAACCCCCACACTGATCCTAATTTCAAGTTTCAGGA